CTCCTTCTGTGCCTCTGCAAGATCTTGATCCTTCTTCTTTAGAGCTTCCTCTAGTTTATCTGTGGCGCGTCGAGTGGAACCAACATCAAGAATGGACAAGAAAGAAAAGCCACCCATTAAGAATGGAGAACCTCACCAGCCATACCTTTTGCTTCTTCTTGCGCCTTCTTCAAATTCTCCTGAGCAAGCTTCAAGTTAAGGTTGAGCTGGATCTGCTAATTCTCCAACTCAGTATAGCGAGCTACAAGTTCGCAAGATTTCTGTAAAAAGAAAAATCAGTCGACAGACGTCCAAGACAAGTTGCTTCCGAGCAACCAAGAGACAATGATGACGTTTCTAAGACTACAGCCGAATCAAGAACATTCGACAGTAGTCTCGGGGACTACACCCAGTGGGTGCACTCAGCGTGCCCCCACTGTAAAAAAAAAGAGTCGACTGCCCGCAGTCGACCGGATACAGTCCCACTCGACATGGCCTGACCAGACCGATTGAAGAAATACAGCTACAGCAACACAATATAAAGACTACAGTCGACTGCCAGCAGTCCACCGTAGTCTCGGGGACTACACCCAGTGGGTGCACTTAGTGTGCCCCCACTCGTCCAAGTATTGACAGACACACCCAGTGGGTGTACAGATACAAAGATCTTCGGAAAAGAGATCCTTCAAACAGCATATCATAACAGACCAAGTGTTGAGTCGACTGACCTGGACATTGCTCTAAAGAGCCGAGCTCGCGTCATAAGCTGTTTGGCTGGCCTCCCGAGCCACCTTCACTTGCTCCATCATGATCCCCGCCTGGCGTATAGCCTCTTTTGCAGCAGCCGCTTGGTCCTCAGGGACGGGGTATGCGGCAAAAAGCGAAGACGGATCCGCAGTCGACGTCGAGGGCCGCACACTCGCCAGAGGAATGGCGAAGGTCACAGAAGCCCGAGTGGTTTCACCACCATCCCGAGCTACGGCCTCAGACGCCGGAGCGGATTGGGGGGTCTTGTCAGCCGACGCCCTCTTGTGCCTCCTCACTCTCAACGGATCGTTGTCGTCGTCATCCGGGAGGTCGATAACATGAGGAGGGGCTACAAGGGAAACATTCAATCGACCAGGGTTGCAATAAATGTTTAGTCGACTCAAAGCGGAACGTCAGTAATCGTACCAGGGTTGGAGGTAACAGCATCCTCCATCTCTTGGTCGTCGTCCTTGGCGGAGATCTCAGAAGTAGCAGCACTGCAAGCCTCGAAAGTCAGTCGGTTGGCTCAATGGATCGACCAAGGATCCGTCCACGGTCGACAAAGGAAAACAAGTTTTATTATTACCCAGAAATGATGGGGACGGCCATCTTCATCTTGGGCAGAGCCTTGGGCGGCTTGGACGGCGCTGCGCGTGGGTGCTTGGGAGCCTTTCCAGTCGGCGTAGGATAAGAGGTCCGAGGGCGTTTCGACGACTGCCCAACAGGAGCAGTCGCCCTACCACGCTCCCCGCGTTGGATCGTGTGTGAGCTTGGATCGCCCCTCTGGGCGGGGGGGGGGGTTCAACCTCCTCCTCCTCTTCGCTGGAGTCGATGTCGTCGCCTCCCTCTCCTTCACCGTCGGACTCCCACTCGCCTTGATCGTCCCCGCTCTCACCTCCGCTCGCCTCCCCTTCCTCAGTTGGCCCCTGTGCCTCGTTGGGCGTCGAGTACATCTCAGTAGTCGCCTGAAAAACAACAGACAAGACAAAGAAGACCAATGAAGAAAAACAAGATCTCAGTCAGGAGCATAAAGACATACCTGGTCCACGTCATACGAGTTGTCGAGTGGAATTACCCTCCTGGCTCCTCGGGGGTTGTCCTTGTTTCCTGTGATGCTCGACAGCCACCCCTCCAGCATCTCATCAGTGACCTCCTCCGGGTGAATCCGAGTGGTGTCGTCGAGACCCGAGTACAGCCACATCGGGTGGTCATGAGCCTGGAGCGGTTGGATGCGCCTCCGGAGGAAGACCTCCAGCAAATCCATACCCGTCACGCCCTCACGGACAAGATCAACCACTCGACCGGCCAGCACTTTGACTTGGGCCCTTTCCTCCGGCGCCACTTTCAGAGAAGCAGGTTTTTCAGCTCGGTCGAGTGAGAAAGGGGGGAGACCAGTTGACTGTCCTGGGGTCGCCTGGTCTTGACAGTAGAACCAGGTCGCCTGCCAGCCACGGACCGACTCCGGAAAAGTGATAGATGGAAAACAACTCTTTCCCCTCGTCTGGATCGCCAGGCCCCCGCACAGCTGGATCACCTGCGTCCTTTCATCACTCGACTTGGCCTTCTTGACCGATTGAGAACGGCAGGTAAAGATGTGCTTGAAGAGACCCCAATGGGGGCGGCAACCCAAGAAACCCTCACACATGGAAATGAAAGCAGCGAGGTATACGATGGAGTTGGGAGTGAAGTGGTGAAGCTGCGCTCCGAAGAAGTTCAGAAAGCTCTGGAAAAAAGGATGGGGCGGCAGAGAAAACCCGCGGTCGACATGGGTGGCTAGGAGCACACACTCACCGTCGCGGGGCTGAGGTTCGATCTCTCTCCCCGGGAGACGCGCGGCTTCGTGGGGAATGACCCCCCCCCCTCGACCATGTCGTCGAGATCTTCTTGCCGGATCACCGACGGCATCCAATCGCCTTGGATCCAGCCTCGGGGCAGAGCAGACCTTGAGGAGGATCCGCCCCGAGCGGACCTCTTCCCTTTCCCCTGCGCCGCCGCCTTCTTCGCGCGCTCCAGGGCGGATGTCTTGTCCTTCGCCATCGTCGCCGGCAAATCTTGCACGGGCCCGCGGCGCTAGGGTGAGAACGGAGGTGGCGGAGGAACTCGCGAAGGGAGAGAGGAAGAAGGAAGCGCACTGTTTGGAAACCCCGAGCCGGCAACTTATAAGGGGCCGCTTCCAAGTGGCTGACTGGTAGGCCCAGTCTATCCAGTCAAATCCCGCAGCAGACGCGCGCGCAGTACGTGGCGAAAAAGGCGACGCGAGGATCGAGGAGCTTCCACTTTATCGCTTCCGATTACTGTAGCCGCTCCCGTCCCGCGCGCTTCCCGAAATCCGAATCCCGCGACACTCGCGAGCCGCAGAACAACTTGTTAAAACAGAAGACCCCGCTCGCGCCGACACTCGATATGTCACACATAAAGAAATTCATTCGACGAAAGGCCTGGAATGGATCAAGGCGACTAAAATAGGTTGATGACGTCATCCGTGACGGTTGGCCCAAAACGAGGCGCTCACGTAGCCCAAAGAACCAGTCGGAAAGATCTCCAACTCTTTCCCCACTCTAACCTCGATCCATTCGGGGGCTAATGATGAAGCCATGTACCTAGGGTAGGGGCACGGGCCTGTCCAAAGAGCCCTACCCTGGGACATCCCTAGGAGAAGTCACCTTTCAATCAACTTGAAGGTATCCCACTCGACCAAGAAGTTATCACTCGACCATGAAGCCAACCACTCGACTGCCAGGAGACCTATAGTCACTCCGCAGGCAAACGGTCAGCTGTTAAGTAGTCTTTATGGTCATTATAGCACTTTATTAGGGGCGTTACCAATAACGCCCGACCTTAAATGTACCTTAAACCCTGCATTACTGAGGGCAGGAGGGGGCCGGCGAACTCTATATAAGCCACCCCCCCTCCTCAGTATGAAGGGTTCACACCCCTGTAATTCACACACGCATAATCCAGTCGACCGCCTCCGGGCTCCGAGACGTAGGGCTATTACTTCTTCCGAGAAGGGCCCGAACTCGTAAACCTTGCATGCTTACAACTTCTCCATAGCTGAGATCTTGCCTCTCCATACTTACCCCCCTACATCACTGTCAGAGCTAGAACCACGACAACCACTGCCCCGCCCTGCCGCTCCCGGACAATGGACGAGCTCACCGGTGGCACACCACCAACCAAAGGGAGGCAACGATAATTCCTCAGCCCTCCTGGCAGGGGAATCGTCCCTTAATGGTGGACGACAACTGGGAGAGGGCCAACCCTTCGGCGAAGACAACATATGTGCAACGAGGAGAGGAGGCAGAGGTCGAAATGGTCCACTTGCTGATGAGCCGACACCGAAGAAGCCAACCATCATTGTAGCTAGAGTTGTCAAGCTACCATGTAGCGTCGCGCTGTAGGAAGGCCAGCGCACACTGGACCTCACCTCGCCATCGCCGCCCATGGTTAGAGCAGCAACCATGCCAAGCTATTTGCCCCAACCCGCGCCACCCGCCAGCCACAACAAAAACAGAGACCGCCGGGGCGCCAACCACCATCACAACATCTGTGTCCTCCACGCCCTGGCCAGATCCACCCGGAACCTCGCCAGCCCACACCGGAGCAGCATGGAGCCAGCCGCATCACCACCACCTTAACAGGGCCGCCGGTCCCCCCTCCCCTCGGTACGGCCGCCGCTAACCGCCAACGCTAACTGGATTTGGGCAGGGACTCCCAGATCCGCCGCCAGCACGTCCCAGGACCTCGGAGCCCCAGAAGCCATCACTGCATGGGGGAGGGGGGGAGGCTGCTTCAGTGGGCCACTAGGACGTTGAGAGGAGGGGGGCGGGGCGGAGCAAGAGCAGGCTCGCCGCCGCCGAACAGAAGGAGACGAAATGGGTCATAGCGCTGGGGTTGGCCTCAATCCAACATATATGTATTAAAAAAGTGTAAATAACCAAATATACCTTTTTTTACGGGAATAGCCAAATACTAGTATACCTTAGTAGGTGGCTGGTGATAAATGCCCAACAGATTTTGGCCAGGTCACCCATCCGCGCCAAAACGAACGCTGTCCGTCCATCTCAAACACCAGCGAACGGCTGGAACTACTCCGAGGCATCGATCCGGAGCACCAACCTATCCACCAATCACAGCTCGCTTCCTTCCTCCTTCCTCCTTCCTATTTAACGATCTCGCCGCCTCCTCCCATCGCAGCGTCTGAACACTCTGCCTCCCGCATCTTGCCGCGAAACTCCACCTCTCCGCACCCTCGATTAGTAGCACCAGCGTCCATGGCACCCAAGGCGGAGAAGAAGCCGGTGGCGACGGAGAAGGCCCCGGCGGGCAAGAAGCCCAAGGCCGAGAAGCGGCCGCCGGCGTCCAAGGAGGGCAGTGAGAAGAAGGGCAAGAAGAAGGCCAAGAAAAGCGTGGAGACGTACAATATCTACATCTTCAAGGTGCTCAAGCAGGTGCACCCGGACATCGGCATCTCCTCCAAGGCCATGTCCATCATGAACTCTTTCATCAACGACATCTTCGAGAAGCTCGCCGGCGAGTCCGCCAAGCTCGCGCGCTACAACAAGAAGCCCACCATCACCTCCCGGGAGATCCAGACCTCCGTCCGCCTCGTCCTCCCTGGCGAGCTCGCCAAGCACGCCGTGTCCGAGGGCACCAAAGCCGTCACCAAGTTCACCTCCTCCTAGATTTCATCCTTGTATGGACGAATCGATGGTGGCATTATGTATGTAGTTAGCTGCCAGTCTGTGTTCTGAAGATGTTATCTCGTGAGAATCAGATTGTACCGCTTGCCGGTCTGAAGAAATAGTAATGTTCTCTTCAGTGTAACTTGCTGCCTTTGCCTGATTCTTGAGTCCTGCTGACTACTATGATTTGATTCTTGCAAGTCTTTGCAGATACAACCTCTGAAGTTGTGGAGAGGTTGTTTTTGTTCTACTATAATTCTGTACTAGTATTTTTAGTTTTCTTTTCTGTCATTATTAATTCATGATTCATGTAGAACTGTCCATTTTGTTGCGAGGCAGCTAAGCTTTGAATCTTTGACCAGGAGGCCTTGCTGAAAAGGAAGGGATTACTGTCTCCACGATCGACCTGCATATTTTGTGTTCTCTGTTCTACAATGTGACCGAGACGTGAAGGTTGCATATGCACAATGGAGAGGCTGAATAGCACTGACGAGTAGGCATGTGTAGAAATTCGGTGTGAAGATGGATGATAAATTTGGTGATGTTTATGCAAATTTGCCGAGCAAGCTCCCTCTGATGCAAATGGAGTTTTGGTGAGTGCATTTGATGAATCATTCCGGGTCAGGCAAGAATGAACACTGTACATGCTATTTCTATCACCTTTTTTTTGCGGGGTGTTACTCCTATTACTTACCATCATGCAAAAGAGTATCAGTTCAGATCATGGTGAAGTAGCACAAACGATCAGTTGAAGTAAACAATGCCGTTACTCTTAAACTAATGTTGATCTCTTCCGACTTCCGTGGATCCACAAACAAAATGCAGACAGATAAGTGTACCCGAGAGGAAGATCAAAGAACGTACACACTTTCTTTAGAATATAACCCAGAGCAACTTTAACAAAGGTGCATATATTTGACAAAAAAAAGGCGCATAGAGTACCGTTTAGAAGAAATTTGGGAAAAAATGGTCTCCAACAGATCCTGTAAACATAGAATAAATTTAGAGGATCATGCAAATTTGACATGAACATCCCTCTACTTTAGGGGAATTATTACAACCCGTAATATTTTGGCCAACTG